ATATTTATTTGCACATGAAATTTTTTCAGTCTCTGGTGACTACTGAGAAGCATGCAAGGAGTGGTCAAATGGGAGCTCAACAACCAGCTCCTCAGCCTCATTCTGTATGTTAGACCTCCTCCTTCTCCTTCTTATTAGGGCCTCTTTCCAAGCTATCTCCCTTATAGCAATGCCCTCTTCAATAACCTTCACTGAGCCATCAAATTTGATTGTCATGTCTTTTAGCATCTCATTAGCCCGCTCTCTCACCAACCTCTTTTTTCCTTGTCCTGCCTCTAGTTACTAGAGCAAGGAGAGAGTTCCTCAGAACAGGATGAATTAGAAGATTTTGTGGCTAGAATCAAATGGGCATAGGGGCATTCAACGACAAATAAGGTCCTAGGTACATGCTTTGACCTGGCTTCCATGGATGGGGGTTTATCCGTTACATTCCCCCATTTGATAATGACCTCCCATTCGGAAAAGTTCATTTTGGTATTTTCAGGTAGGTTTTCTAAGGATGTAAGGTTTTGAATTGCAACGGTGAGCCCCTGCACTTGACTGTGGATCGTGGGTCTTGTTGGTTAGTTTGAGAAAACAGTAGAGAATTATGGATCCTGATACTAGTGGAGTGCTCTTGCATTCACTTGTTTTTGACCTATTAGGTACCAATCCACATCTATTAAGCATTTTTTAATGTGTTAAAATTTTTAAGGACTTCGAAAAAATTGATTTCAACTAGAAAGGAAAATGGTTTGATAGGGTTGCATCCCTATCAAAAAAAACAAGGGCGGCAGCCTTTTTAACCGTCCACTCATTTTTGACAGTGAGGATCGATTGAAATATGTCAACAAAGTTTATTGATTGGGTACACATTTTGAAGATGAAAACCAGGGTTAACCGGTGCTCAATTTTCATTCTCTCACTGTATTCTTCTCTCTCTAAGATGTCAATCCATAGCTTTTTCTTTGCCCTTAGATCGAATGAATTGGGGCAATTTGGTGAGGGTTGAGCTTCCATGTAAAGATTGAGCTCAAAGGATAAACTACATAGTTCGCATATTTAGGGTTCAAAGTCAACTAGAAGGAATTTAATGAGAAGGTAAGGAGAAGATGTAGAGAATGAAGGGGATGATGGGTAGAGAGAAGAGCACCATAGCATTGAGGATGGTGGAGTAGATAGTCCTGTGGCTTTTAAATTGGGTTACTATTTTAATTGAAGAGAGAGAAATAGAGCTGCTTTAAAATCTACTGCAAGAAGGGAGAATGAGAGAACACCCGCTTAGCTCGCAAATTTGGCTGATATTTTTAAGAAAAACCTAATTTTCATTTTTTTTGACAAGGTATTTTCATTCGATGATTTTTTTTTTTTATTGCATATCAAAATCTTGCATTTCTGAACTTTGCACAAACCAAAAATAAAATGATTGATACATCCAAAGCAATCAACAGGCATTCAGAGATAAATTTCTTACTTTCGTCACAAAACCGTGAATGTAAATCTTGACCTACACATCTCTATTTGATGGTGAAGCCATTCAACCATTCTCGAGAGATGGGAATGAGATTGTTGCCCTCCACTCTGTTTTCAATCCTTTAGCCATCTCGTATTCTTCAGTGATCAAGGTAACAATGTTTGTTATCTCCCTTTCTCTCTCTAGAACGGAGTCTTTCTCTCTATTAGGAAAACCTCTAATTTTCGTGGGAACGGTTTGATTTATTTCACCAAAATTTCGTTGGTTTTGTGCATAGGTTGTTAGATTGCGTGGGGCTAAGGCTCTCACATTTCAGCAAAATTTCGTTACATGGCGAGCAAAAATTGTGCGGGTTGTATCTAGGGCTTCCGGTGCTCCAGTTTCCCTCATGGGGTGGTGGAAAAAATCTACACCATCCAAATAAGTGGATGGTGCATAAGCATGCAGCCCAAGCTCAATACATAGGATTGCAGCCTATTGGGTACCGATCCACTTCTATTAACTACTTTTTTAATATTTTTAATGTTTTAAATTTTTTAAGGACTTTAGAAAATTTGATTTCAAGTAGAAATGTGTTTTTAATATTTTTAAAAAAATTTTAGAATTTTAAAATTGATATTAAATGTGTAAAAGCCCCTTAATGACATTTCTAGAAATTTTCCATAAGGGTATTTCTTGAATTTCCTATTTTCTGTATGGGTAGGACCCCATGTGGGGGGCCTATAAGCCTAACCTCCACGGCTGATTTGGGACATGGGGCCCGCATGGGCCACACTCCTCACTAAGAGGGGCATCCAAAGGTTTTGCATTTTAATGCGACACCTAAGGGTGAATTTTAGAAATTAAATATTTTAATTGAAAATATCTTAGGAAATAGTTTTTGTGAGAGATTTAAAGGGAGCTAGATTTTGATCATTATTGTCTTTCTTAATTATCCATATGTGAGAGAATAGAAAATCTTGAATATTTTGAATTATTTTGTAATGTCTAGAAGATAAGATCATGATGAGACAAAATATAGATTTTTTTCTAAAATTGTTAACAAAATATAGATTATGTAGAAGTGGATATTGGTCAACTCTGGGGGATAAGGTGCCTAAAATCACTCTAGATCATGATGGTTGATCTTGGAGATGAACGACTCAAATTAAATCTCTTACATTTTTCTAGAAAATATTTTCACATAAAAAAATTCGTTCATGTGGTTAAATGTGATAAAATTTTTATACTAATTGGTCTTAATGCATTCTTTCATACCAACTGACAACCAATTGATATAAAAATATTTTCACACTTAATCACGTGAGAATTTTTTTCATGTAAAAATGTTTTCAACAACCGTCCAATTAGAAGGAACAAGATGACCAAGTCTTTTGAGATCAAAATTAAAACTCAAAGCATCAAAAAAGCAAAATTTGGGTGTCAAGTTGTAGACCAAAGCATGGCCTAAGTCATGAGTTTTTCCTTGATCGAACTTTCATATGAATGCCAAGTCAATCTCTTGCATGGTCCACAAAAGCATATATGATGTTCCCTCCTACTTGGTTAGGTTGATGGCAGCACTAAAGGCAATCTTGGACTGGCAGTATTAGTGGTATCCACTTGATACCATAATGGCTGAACTCTATTTTTCTACTCCGGTCTCCAGGCTGTGAGGTTCCAAAAAATGCATAAGCGTTATCTTTGGGGTGCGGTTTGCATAGAGCCTAGGCTCTAAACAATCAAATTAGAGCCTATTTTTCAAATAGTTTCGAGCAGCGTTTTAAAAAAGGCCGAGTCGAACCGGACTCGCCCGGTTCGACTCGGAATTAGCAAAAAGGAACCGGATCGGTTGAAAAATCGGAAATCGTCCGGTTCTAGAGAGAACCGGACGATTCCGCACAGTGACTCGCCGATTCACTGTACGGAATCGGCGAGTCCGAACAGTGAATCGGCGAGTCCGTACGGATTTTTTATTTTTTATTTTTATTTTTTTATTTTTATTT